ATATAGACACACATGCACATGACTAAAAAGAATACAAATAAACCTGCGGACAAAAGGCGCCATTCTGTCTCCTGCCTCATTCAAGAAGGCTTCCCGATAGCGACAAGATGGCAGACACCTCTTAGGCCTTCTATCCTGGGCAGTGAGTGACCTGTTCCGCTGACCTCAGGTAGGGCCCTCACACAGCCACCCTTACACCCAGCTATAGCATGCAGCCGCCATGTGAAAGTGAGAAGTCCCACGCCTTCCCCAAGCCTGGCATGCCACCGGAATTTCATAAATATTGGCCTACTGTGTGCTAGGTTTGAGAGATGCCGAATTGGCTCCCTGCCCTGGAGAGGTTCACAATCCTGGGTAGCAGACAGAGACCCAGAGCTGTCTGACAGGTCACCAGAGACAGGTGACCAGTTACCAACATCAAGTCAAATCCACAGGGCATGCCACCGCGCAAACTGTAGAGCACTGTGCATTCCAGCAATGTCTCCCTGGGGTGGGAGGCTGGGTGGGAGAGGAGGGCTGTGTGTGATTGCGACTTCCCACCACAGGCCTGGCTTTTACTGCCTGTCTTAAATGTGTGTTGGCTCACTCTCCAGCCGCCGGGCGGCTTGCACACACCTGTACACGGAAGGCTGTAATTTTGTAGTCTGAATCACTGGGTGAGATCACACCCAAGTTACCGGCAGTCCGCTCCTTAGGGCGGGCTGGGCAGGCAGACGCCTTTGTCTTCCAATTACGGAGTCTTTTATTGCTCTTTTAGTTGGAAGAGAAACACCCAAAGAGGCTGGGTCTGGGAGCAGTGTTGTTCTCAATGAAAAGTCACGCAAAGCCACCGAGAACAGGGAGCCAGGGGAAGCCCTGGGTGTTTGCTTGAACCACCTCTCGGGCTGGCTATGAAGAGGCTGAAGCTGGGACTGCCTGGTGGGTGAACTCAGGCATTCCACAGGCTGGTGTATAAACTTTAGCTCTAGGAACAGCAACTATGTGACCCTGGGAAGATTACCTTCTCTCTCTGAGAATTCCTCTTTCTTAACTATAGACTAGAATGTCGGGGTATGGTAGGAAGTACCTGCTGCTCAGTAACCTAGGTCATTGTCAAGCCCCACCATGGACTTGTCTTCCCACTTCCGGTCAGTTCCTCAAATCCTGGCACACAGTTGTGCACACAGTAGGTATATAGGGTAGCAAAAACTCATGGATCCAGGACCTGACTCTTCATTCAGTCCATAAATACTGACCTACTGTGTGCTAGGTGTGAGAGATGCAGAGACGGGCTTCCTGCCCTGGAGGGGCTCACAGTCCTGGGTGGCAGACAGAGACCCAGAGCTGTCACAAGTCACCAGAGATGGGTGACAAGTTACCAACATCAAGTCAAATCCACAGGGCATGTCCTATCCACAGCATGCTTCAGATAGGCCCTTAGGGTACAAGAAATGATACTCAGAGTGTGGATGAGACTCCCGGAGTGTGGGAGCTGGGAAGGAAGGGACAGTGTCTCCAGAACATTCCAGAAAGGCTGGGGATAAGACCGAAGAGGGAAAGGTAAAGAGGGTACTGAGATGGATGGGCCAGAGCCAGTTCCTTAAGAGGCTTTGCATCAGGCTGTGGGTGTCCAGCTTAATACAGAGGCAAGAAGTGGGACTGGGGGTGTGGCTCAGTGTAGAGCCCCTGCCTAGAATCCCCCAGTGAGGGGCTGGGGTGTGGCTCAGTGGTAGAGCACCTGCCTAGAATCCCCCAGTGAGGGGCTGGGTGTGGCTCAGTGGTAGAGCACCTGCCTAGAATCCCCCAATGAGGGGCTGGGGTGTGGCTCAGTGGTAGAGCCTCTGCCTAGAATCCCCCAGTGAGGGGCTGGGGATCTGCTCAGCAGTAGAGCATTTGCCTAGTATGCACAAGGTCCTGGGTTTTAGCTCCAGCACTGAAAATAAAATAAAACATTTAATAGGGATTAAAAAGGGGAGACATAGAGACAAAAATAAGTAATTGAAAGGGCTAGAGAGATGGTTCAGTGGCTAAGCACACATACTGCTCTGGTAAAGGACCTGAGTTCAGTCCCCAGGTCCTACATCTGGAAGGCCATAACCACCTACAACTCTAGCTCCAGGGGAATCCAATACCTTTGGCCTCCAAGGAGAACTGTCCTTATATGCACACACCCTCACACACACACATTATTAAAATAATAAAAATAAATAAACCCTTTTTAAAAAACTGAGTGGGCCTGGGAGATGTCCTGGCAGTTAAGAGGACCCAGGTTTGGTTCCCAGCACCCACATGGTGGCTCACAGCTGCTGTAACTCCAGTCCCAGGGGATCTGACACCTTCTAGCCTCCTTGGGTACCAGACACATATGTAGCATACTGACATACAGAAAAAATATCCATATGTAAAATAAAAGTTTAAAAAATGATTTTAAACGGGTCATTGGACACATAAGTAAATGGGGAAATAGAAACACCTCTTCCCATATGTTACAATGCCAATTCATACTTCTAAGAAAGCTAGGCATGGTGGCGCACACCCGGAAACCCAGGAATTAGAAGGGCCAAACTCAACTAGCAAGTTCCAGGTCAGCCTGGGCTACTTGAGGCACTGACTCAGAAAAGCCAAAAATGAAAAAGTTAACTAGAATTTTAAAATTATATGAAATATTCATAGAAGGGAAGAAAAAAAGAAAAACAGTCCCATTAAACAGACACCCAGGGAAACTGATTGCAGGTGATACCCGGCAGTGGATGACATCATTACTGGATGAGTCCGGGGTGGTGGTAAAGACCCAGAGTACCAACACTCAGGAGTGGAGGCAGGATCTCTAGAAAGCTCACCTTTCAGGGGATCTTGTGTTTTGTTTTGGGGTGTGTGTGTGTGTGTGTGTGTGTGTGTGTGTGTGTGTGTTGCCACTTGTGCACTTGTGCAGGTCCCAGAACAGCTTTGGGACTTGGCTCTCTCCATCCACCTTTACATGGGTTCCAGGGATCGAACTAAGGCCTCTAGGCTTGTGCACCTTTATCTGATGAGCCATCTCGCTGGCCCCGTTGGTTTTCTTCTTCTTCTTTTTATTTTTTTTAATTTTATTTTATTTGCAGGTATGTCTGTATGAGGGTGTCAGATCTTAGAGTTACAGTTGTTAGCTGTCATGTGGGTGCTGGGAATTGAACCGAGGTCGCCTGGAAGAACAGGCAGGGCTCTAAACCACTGAGCCATCTCTCCAGCCCCTGTTTTTCTTCTTTTGAGATAGGCTTTCACATATCCAAAGGCTGGTCTCCAATTCCCAGTCCTCCTGCCTCTACCTCCCAAGTTCTAGGATTATAGGGATTTGCCACCACACCTGGGTGAGGGAGTATTTTTCTGAAATACAGTCTCAATATGGAGCCCAAGCTGGCTTGGAACTCACAGCCATCCTCCTCTCTTCCCCTTCCAAGTGCTGGGATTACAGGCACGAGTCACCACATTTATCAAAAAAATAAATAAAGTCCAGTTTGGGCTATATAGTTATGACTGTCTCAAAAATTCAAAAGTCAGCATTGGGCTGGACTCGTGGCTCCGTGGTTAAGAAAGTATACTGTCCTTGCAGAGGACCTAAGTTCGGCTTCCAGCACCCACACTGGGTAGTTCACAGCCTCCCATAATTCTAGCTCCAGGGAATCTGATACTCTCTTCCAGCTTTGGGGGTACCTACAGTCATGTGCACATATACATATATTATACACACATTAATATAGTTAAAAAAATAAATCGTGGGCTGGAGAGATGGCTCAGTGTTTAAGAGCACTGACTGCTCTTGTAGAGGACCTGAGTTCAGTTCCTAGTACTCCATCTGGAATCCCAGCTCCGGGCCTCTGATGCCTCTGGCCTCTGAGGGTAACTGCACTCATAGGCACAGACTCCCTTCCCTTCCCATGGCACACACAATTAAAAATAAGTCTTGTTAGCCGGCCGGTGGTGGCGCACACCTTTAATCCCAGCACTCGGGAGGCAGAGGCAGGCGGATCTCCGTGAGTTCGAGGCCAGCCTGGGCTACCAAGTGAGTTCCAGGAAAGGTGCAAAGCTACAGAGAGAAACCCTGTCTTGAAATAATAATAATAATAATAATAATAATAATAATAATAATAATAATAATAAGTCTTCTTCTTGTTGTTGTTGCAGGCCGGGGTTTTGAGACAGGGTTTCTTTGTGTGACCTTGACTGTCCTGGAACTCAGAGATCTGTAGCCCAGGCTGGCCTGGAACTCACAGAGATCCCCCCCCTGCCTCTGCCTCCTGAGTGCTGGGGATCTCACCCAGTGCCCAGCTAAAAATAAGTTTTAAATCAAATAATAAAATAAAAATTTAGAACCACAAACACACACACACACAAATACTGAGACAGAGAATATTCAAGGCTTCCCTAGGCTGTATTCCAGGATCCTGGAGCTCAAAGAGGACAACAGTAAAAATAAGCCATGTGGGCAAGAAAGAAATGCGGAGTATGGCAGGTAAGGTGGTACATTTCCATAATCCTCACAGATGGGAGGCTGAGGCAGGAGAATTAGAGGTTCAAAATCAGCCTGCAAAACTTGGAAACTCTCTATCTCAAAAAAAGTAAACAGTGGCTGAGGACCTTTGCCTCAGCAGTTCAATACTTACCCAGCATGCACAGGGCTGTGGGCTCAGTCTCCAGTACTTGAAGTGCTGGGGACTGAGCCCACTTGAAGGGACTAAGGATTGTATCTGAGGCCTTGTGCATGCATGCTGGGCAAGTGCTCTACTGCTGAGCCATGCCTGCAGCCCCCTCTGGGGGATTCTATGCAAGTATTCAGTCACTGAGCAACAGCCACAGTCCCTCCCTTGGGGATTGTAGGCAGCGACTCTACCATTGACCTGAGCCCCCAGAATCCACGCAAACACTGCATCACACCCCCAGCACACATCACACTTCTTAATCTGAGACAGAGTTTTACTAAACTGCCCAGGTTGGCCTGGAATGAGCCATCCTCCTGCCTCAGCCTCTGGGGTTCCTGGGATGACATGGTGGAGCCGCCACAGCTGGCAGCATCCTCTAATTCCAGAGGACATCCTGGCCCAGCGCCCTGGACACACCGCGCCTCTCCCCAGCCATCCTCTGAGGTGCGTGGTGCAGCCTGCTCCCTGCTGCAGCCGAGGGTTGGAACGACCGACCGGTTAATGACAGAGAAAGTGCTGAGACGACAGATTATTTCAACAGTGTCCTCATCCGTTGGGTATTTCAACATTCTGTGTTTGTGCAAGAGACATAATGGGACGCGTCATAAACTCACACCGTCTCGAAGCTCGGGCACGTCGTGGCGGGATGCTGGGGAACTGTCCGGGTTTGAGCAATTAAGCTGTCTCCAGGCTCCTGCTCCTTCGGGTGAGTGGGGCTCGGCCCGTGCACAGCCCTGGAGAGAAATCTCAGGGTGTCAGAGAAAACCCAGAGCAATTACCTCTGGGGCTAGTTAGATGAGGGTGCCGATAGCAGGCTCCACCTTTCTGCCTCCAGGGGGAGGAGGACCAGCTTGTCCCATCATTTCACCCACCCTGTGGTCGGGGCGGAGGTCACCAATGACCTCATGGGGGCAGAGGTTGTGAATCATGGCTCAGCCTGGTCCCACTGCCCTGGAGGAGAGTGGGCATGTGGGTCTCCAATGGGGCACCCCTGTGCCTGGAGCTAGCCACCGCCACATCTTGGTGGATATTCCGAAGAGCTGGTTCTCGGAGAAAGCTGTAAGACCCTGTAGCCTCTTCCGGGAAGCCACGTTTGGCCCAGAATTATCCATTCAGATCAGCTGTGACACAAGACTTGGTTTAACTGCCCCCTTTACGGGCTAAGTGGAAGGTGGGGGAATCACCTCACTGAAACTGGGAGTGAAGCCGGCAGAAGGGTGGGACAGCTTCCACTGGGTGGGACAATACTGATCATTCTGCTGAGTGTGTGTGTGTGTGTGTGTGTGTGTGTGTGTGTGTGTGTGTATCCACTGGGTGGGACAATACTGATCATTCTGCTGAGTGTGTGTGTGTGTGTGTGTGTGTGTGTGTGTGT